AGAGGAGGAGTAATGAGTAACATGTGCATTATGTCCTCAAGGCAGTTTACCAATAAACTAGTTCCACTGGTTTCAACCATACACTGTACATGTACTGGATTGTAGGAGGCTTAAAATTTAATGAGACTAGTTTTCTTATTATTTATTTATTTATTTACATGTATATTATTGTTATTATTATTATTTATGAAACTTGATTAACATACCACACTGATACATGTAGAACAATAAACAATAATTAACAAAACAACAACAACAACAACAACAACAACAACAACACCAGTATACATGTACATGTACACATTACAGGTCAGGCTAGTGAGGATACTTGTGATTCTAAGCCTCTAACACACTTTAAGGCAAAAATTATCGTCCACTTAGCACTAAAAACATGTACATGTACACATGCTGTACCTTTATTCTCCCATGGTGTCTCATTAAAGAGTTTCTTGAGTCTCTCCAGTATTGATAGGGACCTGTACTTGATACACTGTACCAGTACGTCCTGGAATGATAGCTTATTAGGGACCAGTGATAGGTCTATTGATAGTGGAGGGGTGTGGCTAGTTATTAACTGTCTGGTCTGAGAGTGAGGGTTGATGTATATTGTAATACGAGGCCATGGGGCTACAGGAGGGAAAATATTACTACTAATAAATAGAATATATACTGTATACATTTTGTACATGTACATGTAGTTGGTAATTTTGAAGAGAATATTTTTAGTGAATTTAGGATTTTGAAAGCAATTATTTTTGTCAAAATAAACCAGCCATTTTGAATGGACATAATTGAGAAACAGCAACTTCTAAAATCCCATCCTCCAAAACTTTACCAGCTATACAGTAAGTATGGTAAACTACCAGTTATTAATAGTCAATCATCAGTTATTAATGGTACTTACAGCTGGTATTATTCAGTAGATAAGCTGGTCCAGTGTGTCTCCAGTATACCAGTCTAATGAGGTGTCCTGGTACATAGTCCTCCACCTTCATATACACTCCACACACAGCAACACTCAGTCTCTCCACCTAATGGATGAACAATGGACAATAATACAAGGGACACACTGGCCCACCCTTTCATAAAACCCTCTCAATGTACATGTATTGAAAAACTGAATCAATCGCTATTCATTAAAACTTCTTTTTAATGCAAACAAATTTATTGTTATACCAAGTCCTGCTATACCTACATGTATACATAATTATCATTAATAAATACTCAACTAACCTCAGCGTGGAGGCAGTCCAGCTGTAGAGAGAGACAGAAGTGATGGAGTGTATTGAACATGTCATTGAGATTACCATCAACTGAACAGAGTCTGGACTGAACCAACAGGAGGAGGTAGAGCCGCTGCTGCTCCGTCACTAGGACAGGGGAACCTAATCGTTACCATGACAACAATGAGCGTGAGATACATTATCATGTGCTGGTACTTTTAACACATTTAAGTGCTTTTGTTTGTGTTTAAGTACATTTTA